CTGGTTTTCTGAATTATCGATCTTATTACCACTTATTTAGTAAAGAATACATATGTGAAAAGTGAATTTAAACGAATAAATGATTTTTAATGCTCTAAAGTATCATGATAAAATTATCAAATTTAACTACACTCACCAAATTTTATCACATACTCGTATTATAAAATAATATTTTATTATTAATTTCAACAATGTCGGTACCAAAGCACTTTAGGAAATTAATTTCAATCTTTATTTTTCTAGAAGCAATTCCCGTTTTTCAATTACACGTGCTATCTTAAAAATTTAAAATAATTTTTAATCATAGTAACTTTGTACAGACAATCACTTTTATTCAAACAATAATTGCACAGAAAATAAGACTCTTCAAATTTTTGATATATTATTAATTTATATATCTTTGCCAAAGGCAGAAATAAATTGTTTATCTTACACAAATAAAAAAAAACGAATGACGAGTCATTGAAAACCTCCAACGACCTTAAAAAAATGTTGTAACACAAAAAAAACTGTGTTTTTCAATCCCTTTACATCATTTATTTCCCTACCTTTATTTTTTCTCCAATATCTGTGGATTCGTCAGTAAATTAAATGGGGATTATTTCTTAAATCGAATGTAAATCTGAACCTCTACAAAACCATTGAAACAAAATAAATTTACAAAACTGAGGAAGAATAATCCATGCATTCTCCCTGGAGAGAAAGGAAAAGCCTTTAAAACAGATTCAATGGAAAGGTTCAAGTTTTTATTTCTTCATTCTGGATTGAGAATTCTGAATAATTTCAAATTTATGCAATACAAGAGGACAATTTAATCTGACTTTTCACAAAAGAGCTTATTTATTTGTTATCGTCAACTCCTTTTACGATGATGATAAGATTAGAGCCTGCATTATTCATAAGTTCGAAACAAAATATTTACGTCCAACTTTCAGTTCCGTATTTAAAACAAGTGCATCATACTTAGCATTATTTCTTTTCAGGAATAAGCAATAGTTTCGAAGCACATATCTACATATTTTAATATGACTGATGCATGTATTTATATAAATATGTTGCAACAAAGTATTTGCCCGCAAAGGTTTTTGAATTTCTAAATTCTTTGGAGGATTGATGTTTGCAAAATGACAGATTTTCAAAAAAGCTATTTGAGGGTGTAAATATGTTGTTGAATTTTTTTCTCATTATAACAAAGAAAACAATGTTACAGAAAAATAATTATAAGTATCAGGCATTAATAATTTAATTTCAGATCAGTTTTTTTACATTAAAGGATTTTATTTAATTATATACAATTTTGTTAAAATATATTATTAAAATTATCATTTAATATTATTAAATTTATTATGATTTATTNATTTTGTTAAAATATATTATTAAAATTATTATTTAAAATTATTAAATTTATTATTATTTATTGAATTATTATTATTTATTAAAATTATAATTATTTATTGAATTATTATTGAATTATTTCATATCATCTGAGGAATATCGTCCCCATAGTTTGGTAAGGAGAGCTATCCTAAGTTTGGACTCCTTAATGTTGATTTTACTTTTTTGCGCATTTCACCATATCTCGAGAAATTTTAAAGCGAATTGAAAATTTTTGCGCACAATTATAAAAAAAAAATTCCAAAGATAATCTATGCAAAAATAAATTGGAGTAAATATTTATTATTTTTAATTATTTTATTAAATAACGATCGAAAAACGTTTGAATTGTAAGGAATACAATTGTTTGCATCATTTTAAAAAGTGCAATTTTATATAACAAAATACATTTTGATCAAAAATTTGAACAAAATCAGTCGAACAGTTCCTGAGAAATGGAATTTAAAGAAAGTCCGAAACTTCAAATTCACAAGAACTATTGGACCGATTTTGCTCAAATTTTGTATTTTGTTACATAAAATTACATTCTTCAAAATAATGCAAAAAATTTTATATCTTCAGCATTTTTCGATCATTCTTAAGTAAAATAATAAAAAATTGAATCTTTACTAAGTGGTATTTTTTGCATGGAATTATTTTTGGATAAATGATTTTTATAATTGTGTGCAAAAATTTTTCAATTTGCTTAAAAAAGTTCTCGAGATGTGGTGAAGAACGTAATAAGTAAACTCAACATTAAGGGGTCGAAGCTTTGGAACGCTCTCCTGACCAAACTATTGGGACCATATCACCCAAATTGCGGTTACCAAATATATTTTGGGAGTCAGAAATCCGAATTAAAGGTATTTTTATTCCGAGAAAGTACGTTTTTGTGTCTGATTTCGTTACTTAAAATATCGTGTGCACTAACTAATTAGCATATTTAAGGTCACCCTCTTGAGCCATTAATATTGAGTCATAGAATATGAAGATTTGATCATTAGATCAAAATTTATTCAGGATAGTCCATTTTTTCCCGCACCATACGTCTAAAAAATTATTTATGACTATGCCATGGAGAAATAGAGCAAGGGGAAGACCCAAACTCAAATAGTTCGATTCTTCAGATAATTACTTCCTCTTACTGAGTTGAAAAAACTGGAGAACCATTGCTTAGAATGGAAGAGAATACCCGAGAAGGCCAGGGCCCACCTCAGGCTCTACCGCATATGGTGATAATGATTCTCAGTGATTAATTTTTTAACTATCTACAGTAGCGATCCTGTCAATTAAATTCAGGGTAAAATTTTGAGTGTTTCAATGAGTAAAAAAATTGGTCGGGAGTTGCTTTTATATGGTAGGGGAGGGGATCGTGTTCTTTTTCTTTTGTCTTGAGGGAATGATAGATAATGACCAGTGCAAGAAATATTGACGGGAAAAAAACAGGTCAAATTTAGATGGAATTTTTCAGCTAGATTCAAGACGGAAAAAATTCTGGTAAAATTACCGCACTCTTTGGGAAAAACGTTTCTGATAAAGAAAACGAACATTATTTTTCAACGAAACCAAAATATACGGTAATTAAACCATTCATTTATCGATCTTAAGCTAAAAGATTACCGGAAATTCTGGTTTTTGAAATTATAGTACCCATTACTACGCATTCAAGATATCTACTATCAAGATTCTACTCAAAGATATCACGATAAAATTATTCAATTTTACCACATTTACTTATTACACAGATTATAAAGCAACATTTTTCATTAATTTAGCAAAGCGCTTCGGTAAAAAAATTACAGTGGTTTCTAGTGTTCCCATAAAGACAGAAACACGGGAAATTCTACCATATTCGGGTAGTTTTCACAAAAAAAATTTCCCCATTGTTTGGCTCCCTTCCACTACTCGAAAATGAAAAAAAAGCACAATTTTGCCAAAAACTATAGAGTTGTCCTAAAGTCTTTACAAATATCCCCTTACTTTAATACCATAGATAGAATCTATAGTCTGTCTTGGAGCAAAGTCTCGCAAAAATAGATTCAAACATGATGATGACAATCAATCAATTATAGTATAGAGATTAAGAAAATGTTAAAAATTAGCAATGTATAGGATAGAATCTATTTCAAAATAAGTGAATCTGTTTTGGAAATCAAAATTAGGATATATTGAAATTAAATAAGAACACAATTTTAAAATTCATAATAAACTGTTAAATCAATTGAATATGTCTCAATATGTCGAGTGCAATGACTACGGAATCAGTGGAAATTTTAAACTCTAAACCAGATAAAGTGTTTTTTTTTTATTTAATTTATTCAATACCGAAATTTCTATGAAATCGTGAAGTAGATAGGTTGTAACTATGAGAGGAGTAGATAAAAGGTCCCTTTTGTACGCATTTCATGCTTTATTGGTCTCAGATTCAGCTAATTCCCTTATGGTATTGTGTTCTTTTCTGGTGATAAATATAGGCTGCCTAAATTGTTATTTTGATTATTTACGGGGGTGGTTAAAAGGGGAAAGATTATATTATCAAGCACGCAACCATTAAAATATTGAAGGAAGACATTATGTACTTTATTACTAGATAATGCAACATTTATGATAAATCGCGAATGAAAGCTTTTCTTCAAATGACTGCTGATGTCCCAGCAACATATAAGTGGACATCTACTCTACAATTAAATAAAAATTTGATATTAAGTAGCAAACAATGAAATTTTATTTGAAATTTAAATTATTTTCTCCCGTTGAAGGTGCTGTGCCGTACAAAATATTTGATTGCATGAAAACAAATTGCGGATAAAAAAAAGAAAAAAGAACATTTAAAGTTTAGAAAACTACTCTATATATTTCAAGCATTTACTGCAGACTATGATAAACTTAATTTAGAAATTTAAAAGCGTGAAATTAGAATGTTTTGTAAAAATATTTAAAAGAATAGTGCATTTTTGTTTATTTTTTTAGAATTATTGAATGAAGTTAACCAACGAACTTTTAACAAACTTAATGCAAAAACAAAATTACAAATTATTTTTTAGATCAATTAAATTTCTCATATCATGCTAAACTAATTTACTAATCTTTTATATTATAACTTATAATAAAATTAATTTTATCTTTTATATTGTAACTTATAATAAAATTAATTCTATCTTTGATATTGTAACTTATAATTAAAATCAAATATATTTTCAAGATTGCGAATTTTAAAAGGTTTATTTAATGATATTATATATTATTCATTAGTGATATCCTAGTTCCTGTCATAGTTGAGAACATACATTTTTAAATCTATGTTCTAATTATTCTTTTATTTTGAGGAAAAATCTAAAGACATTAAGGATTAGCTTTCTGCAAAATTTGATTGAGAACATTTATTTAGGAAAATAACATATTTCATGATTTATATCAAAAGCTCTATTTTTAATGACAACAATAAGAATTTAAAAATTATTGTCATGAATAGGTGGATAATAAACACAAAAAAATATTCTCTTATGCTGGAAAATACTTTAATTTCAATATTTTTCGACATGTTGGTGAAGTATTTTACCATTTATTGACATCGTTGATTAATTAGTTTGTTATTACAACATCGAAATTTTTTTTAAAAAATTTAGGCTCTTGATCACATCTTGAAATCCCTGAATCTTTGCTCATCATCAGAGAGCGCATGCGCACAGATGCACGTTGATCATGGTGATATATTGAAAGACATGAAACAATGGGATGATGCTTCTCAGGTACTGATTATTATGTTTTGTTAGTCATAATTTTGTTTAATTAACACATTTCAAGTTATAAATTTATTACTTTATGAATCTTTATGCTATTAAACTCTAGATTCCTCATAAAGAATAATTTTAACTTTCAATAATATCGGTATTTTGGATACAATTTGTACTAGGAATCCCATAATTAGTTACTAGCATCATTTAGTTGCATGCACTATTAGAAATTTTAGAGCACGTAGTAAACCCATAAACTGTTTAAATTGGCTGAAATCTTTAATTTGTCATGCAAAGCAAACGCTGGTGAGTTCCATCTAAAAGTCTTCCACGATGGCAAGTTAGTCTCAAAGCTTGAACCAGTAGCTCTTTTGTATCCTGGGTTGGGTTCAAAATTTAAAAGACACTGAGTTGAACATTTATAGTTGTAAATTCAAAATTGGGTCAGCTGTTCAACTCCGGGTATAAAATAAAATTAAAGAAAATGTTAGGTAAGTTGTTGTATGTCATGGTTTATATGCTAGTTTAAAAATGTTAGTATCTAAGTAATAATCGAGATTTAGTAACTTCAAAAAAAAATTTTTTTTTGCTAAAAAAAAATGTAGAACTCAATATTTTGATCTAGAAAATGAATGTGATAAATAAATTAGAAATGATAACAAAAAGAAAAGTTTAAAAAAATATTTAAACGAAAATAAGGTGCAAAAAACCAAACAAAAAATCATCTTTCACGGATCCAAATCCAACGATTCTTATTTTCATTTGCATGCAGTTTTGTTCTACAAAGTATTCTTTACAAAAAAAATTTAAGAAAAAAAAACTCAGTATTTGGTTTTCAAAGTCAATTTGAATACAAAGTCGTGTCTGAAAACACGATACGTGCTTTACGCCAATAGGTATCTAAGCCAGAATGAAAACTTGTCACAACATGAATTTATAGTTCACAGCTTCCAAAACGTCTATAAATTATGGCGGAGAATAAATTCGAAACAAGGTTTGTAATCCACTATTTTTACCTAATATATTGACTAAACTTCAATATAATTTAGGATTCAACGGAATTGAAAAAATAAATATCTGGCAGTTTTTTGTCACTCTGTAACCAAACTGGATGATGCAGCACGCTCAAATTGTTTAGAAAAGGTGCTACTATTTGCTGAAACTTACTCTTTATGCCTACGAGTACTGGTATACCCTACAATTGAATGAATAATTAGTTATGAATAATTTTAATAATTAAGGAATAACATTTTCCCAAAAAATTTATTTTATTACAATAGAATCAACGAGTAATTTAATTTTTACCTTATCCCCTCAGAATAACATACTAAACATTATTTTCAATTTTTTAACCATATTTAGTTGAATCATTTAACGTAACAACAACCAGAGCTACTTTGGTCAGTCACAAAGATAAGTTTGTTACAGAACAAGTATAACAATACATACGAGTACTTTCAGGTTTAAAAAATAGCTTGTATTTGGAGTAATTTAGGAGTTATGGGTATTGATACTGCCGTGCAATTCAAAGCACGACATAAATGCTTCACGATTGATTCCGTGAAGAGTGACAAGACAACTATTTTCCTTCTATTGCTAATGCTGTGAGCGCTAAAATAAAATTTTGATAAACTGACAGAACAAAATTTATTTTTGAGAAAGAATTTTGCAATATGTAGCTTGCCATACAAAAATGCCAAATGTATAAAAATCTCAATCTTGAATCTTCCGTCGCTTACGTTGATTTTTCAATTTCACGGCAGTTTTTCAATTTTCAATCACCATGGGGCACAATGGTTTCTTTTTTAAAATCGTTGTTTGATGAGTAATTGTTTACTTCCTAACTTTATATTATGGACGAATCCAGTTATGTGATAAAAATAAGGAAAGTGTCATAATATTTCTGTTAGTAACCTTTTACCAATTTGTCATACTTTTTTTTACCTTTTGTCTGTTTTGACGGTACATTGTTGAGTTTTCATAAGCATGACTAAAACTACTTCCAGCACAATAAAGAAAATATTCTTGTTTACGAGAGGGATGAGAACGAGTCACCGTTTCCAAGCTTATAAAGCGAGAATACTTCAATGTTCCAGCAAAAATCTAATTACGATTTAAAATAAGAAGTTAGGAATCAAAAGTAAGAGGAACAAAAATAAAGTTTTTACATGCTTTTCAAATCTAAAAGTCACTTTTTTACTTTGCTTATTCGTTCTATCATTTCGAAAGATCCGAAAAAGGGTAACTTCAGACTAAAATTTTAAAAGAAGTAAAAAATATTAAAAAAACAGGTATTATTTTTGTAGAAAAAAATCTGACTGTTTAATATTTTATACTCAGTTAATTGCTTTAAACTCAATTTAGACATTAAAAAGTCCTTAGACTTTTTAGCAAGCAACGAAATGTGGCAATGAAACAGGAAAAAGTGGCACAAAATTACCCAGTTTGGGGATTCTATTCCCGTGTGGTTTTCTATTGCGTAGTATATTTGAATGTTTAAACATCGACTATTCATTAGTCAAGCACAATTGACAGATTCTTGTTTTATCAATAATTTTTACATATTTGAGCATACTTTTAAAAGTATCTTGATGAATTGGAGATATAATTTAATAATTTTTAAAGCAAATCATGGTCTGTATAATATAAAATTGTTTATTTACTTACAAGTAGTATTTTTATTTTTAGAGCTACAAAATGGCAATTCAATTGGATCCCAAATTATCCCATGCTCATGTGAACTTAGCTGTCATTAAACATTTACAGGTGAGCTTGCCTTTAAGCTTTGTAGCGATACATAAAAATAATATTAAGTCTTAAGTTAAACAAAGTAATAATATTAAGTGAACTTGATAACTGACCGTAGTTCATTTGAAACAGATTTACTAATATACAAAATTTTAAATAATTCATTTAACAGATTATTATTATTCCTTATATATATATA